AAAAAGTAGCTTATCTTATTCTAGCTGGTGTCAGCTTTAAAGTGGCTATCATCCATCATCGCTACTGTTTCTAGTTTTAGCTCCACTTCGGATAATATGAAAAAAAGACTTTTTTTTAGGAAAAAAACTGTCGTATACTTCATATGAATGTCCGTTAGTTTTTAGATATAATAAGTGGAGAACGTCGGTATAGCTTTAAGAAAAAAGATTGAGGATGATAACTCCCGTAATAGAAGCCCCGGGGGTTCCTACACTGTCTAAGCGTTCAAAACTTTTGGCGGGGCTTCTAATAGGAAAAAATTCTGGATCATATATTAGATAATACCACTTTCGAGGTTCCCGTGCTTATCAACACCCCGAGCCGTGGAAAATCAAGGTCTCGCTTAACCCTCGGTTTGAAGAGGATAGCTTGGGCTATCATGGTATGGAAGAAAATCAATACAATTTGCGGAAGAGTATTAAAGAAAAATGTCATATCTTATTGAAACGTTTTACACACCAACTCGTTTTCCAAAGATCTCCTAGAAAATCTGGTTCAGAAAACACTTCCGAAAACTTTTATGCTTGTGAAAGCATGTCTGCAGGTCTCTTCTTTCGCACGGCGAAGGGCGACGCTCTCTAGTTACTTTCTATCAAATGTTATTCAAAAAACATCCGTATTCTTTATATTTTGAAATGGACAGTAGTTACTGGATGCCAGTCCTAGCATCCCAGTGAAATCCGATACCACGATCGAACCACTGAAAATCAAGGTCTCACTTGACTCTGAAGATGACACTTTGGCCATGTATCCAATGTAAAAAAACCGAATATTTGTGTTTCAAGTTCTTGAGTCATAACTTGGTTTTCTAAAGAGCCTCTAGAAAACGTAATTTGCAAAAAGGTGTCAGAATTATTTTCATGATGAAAAGATGCGGTCAAGTCTTTGATTTCAATTGTTGAAGACCGCAAGTTTCTATTACTTTCCTGTCAAATCGTATTCAAAAAACATCCGAGTCCATTCTTTTTTTTACTGACAATACTCAGAGTTTCTACTATCTTTTTCAGATTGTGAAGCCTGCGGTTATTTGTTGAATAACTCAAGAAAGAAAGAATTCAGATTTTCATCATCCAAAAGAAGCAACTCTGAGGCATCTTTTTACAATAGATACTAATCCAAAACCGATTAGAATAGACAGTATCAATCAGCAAAAAAACCAGCACACTTTTGAGGCCATGTGCTTAGATAACATAACACCAGAGTAAACCATCCTTTCGACCAATACGTAAAGGATAAGAAGCTGTAAATATTATAAAGAGACGTGTAGCAGTTTCAGCGGAGTAATCATCGGTCCTTTTTTCTTCTTATTGTGATTATTCTAAACCGTTTCAAGAATCAATGAAATAGAGGAATAACGACCGACCGACTGGAATACATTTTGAAACGTTCCCTTAGTCTTGTACAATTCGCATACGTTTTCAGACCGTCCTCACTCTTAAAATGTACATAAAGCGTACAAGACTAACTCATTCTAGAATATTTGTCTAACAGTTATAAGAAGTTACAGTTATGACAGTTACAGTTTTATAGTTAACTATAACTAGTGCATGCGTGCAACGGTCCTAGTTATAACAAAACTAAATTGTTTACTGAACGGTTTAAAGCCCTGATCATCTCCTGTTCGTCGCTGACACGGTGAGTGAGTAATAACAGGTATGTAGAGAAGAGAACTGCGATTTTTCTACAGAACAAGACAAAAATTTCTTCACTGACCTGAATATAGATGTGAAACATGGTAAAGCACATCCATTTGATAAAAAAGTGACTGTTACATAGAAACATATTTCACTCTTTCTGATGTGCTGACTCGATAGAGAAGAAGAGAATAATCGTCAACAACGGCAACAATACAATAATACAATAATACACACGAACTCCTATTCACCCATCGTAACGAAATGGTAAGTCAATGGGTAATATTTTTGTCAATGCGTTTTCTGGAAAACCTCTCGAAAGATCTTAGAGTTTTGTAAGATCTCATTCTATATCTTGTATAAACAGGATGCAGAAGAGCCTCAATACTCTACATTCTGACGTTTCGAACTTGTTGTGATGTTTTTTGAGTGAGTAGTGAATTTTTTAATATTAGGTGAAAACAGCCTAAAAGCTCAAATTTTTATAAAACTCGCGTTTCGCTAGGTTTTTAAAGCTTTTCCTAAAAATAAATGTTGCCTCGAGATTCAGCATGATCGATTTCCTATAATCGATCAGTTTTCAAGGCTACCAATAGTTGTCGAGGGCCGGTCCAGGAGCTCGTAGGAAATCCGACACAACGCCCGAACCGTGGACAATCAAGGTCTCACCTGACTTCCGTTTTGAAGAAGAGATCCTGAACTATCAGTCCATGAAAAAAAACAATATAATGCTATTGAAAAAGTTTACCCACAACCGGGGTTTTTCAAAGATCTTCTAGAAAACCTGTTTCAAAAAACTCTTCTGAAAATTATTTTACTTGCGAAAGCATGTCCCAAAGTCTCGTATTTTGCATGGCAAAAATCGCAGGTTTCTATCACTTTTGCTTCAAAAGTTATAAGCAATCTACCCACGCGCATGTTAGCTCGAAAACGACAGTAGTATCGCCCGATTACATACTAAATGTATCTGGATTTTTCTCACAGAAGGTGTTTCGTTGGGTTATTTTATACAAATCGATCTTTTCAAGAGGTATATTACTTGATTAAATTCTTATTTAAAGAAAAAAAGTTTTTGGATGTTACTGATTGAAGGGTTTATCGAGAAGAAGAAAGAAATTTTGGAAAACCTCTCACTATAAACTGCGGTAGTGTGGAAACTGTCGTCTTTCTGAACGTGCGTAGTGACAATATCGACTGCAGTTAGAGCAAAAGACTTAAATAAGTTCGATTATTCATTTCCAAATATTTCTGTATACATTTATACAACATACATATATGTTGTGGCCAAAATTCAAATTCAGCCAAACTAAAAATTTGACCAGCGATCTTTAGGGAGAAGTCAAACTAAGAGTTGAATCTTATTGCGAGTCTAATTCTGGTTGGCTGTATTTCAGATATGTCTGCTTACAATGACAGCTCGAGAGAAGGTCCCTAGATTTCCAATGCATTTTTTTATGGGAGTCATGTGATCGTAGGTAATCGACGATTCTGATTCTAAATATCATTGTGGCAAGGGCTCATACGGCTTGGATTTTCATTTTTCTAATAACTGGTTTTCTGGTTTAAAAGTTTTTGTTCTTTTAAATGAAGTTCTGATCTGTCCAGTTTGTATCGCATTTTGGTTAGAATTTCGCGTGCTACAATCGTGACTTATTCATAAATCGGCTAGGAAAGGCCTATAGGCCCGAATGAATATCATATTCGAAATCAGCATGGTCGATTACCTATAACCTACTACATTTTGTTCAAAAAATTAAGGGGACATTTGGGGAGGTTCGTTTCTTAGTAAGTGGAGTTTAAACATTCAGAATCTTTAACATGAGATTTCGGTGAAGCTACTTCTACTGTTTTACCTGGAAAACGTTTCGCCCCACATTTTGACTTACAGTCACATATTGCACCGGATATCGAACCACGTACTAATATTTTCAAGGATTCGATCAATGTTATGTCGTCAAGAAAACTTGCTTCATTTAGTCTCAAATCAGGTGAACAAGCGGAACGTAAATGAACTAAACTTTATACAGTTTTAATATATATGCAAGTATAAATAAAAATTCATTCTCTTGTCTTTCTTTCGAAAGACGGGATTGTTTGTGTCACTGTTAGATTAAATTAGAATGTTAGAAACTAGCTAACGTTAGAAAGGAAAAATACACTGTTGATTGCAATTAATATTTTTCCATGTCATATGAGTACATCAACATTGCTGATACTGTTCGGGTTGAATGATTTCGCTTGTGATTCGCAACCGGCAGCAACGTCGATTGAAGTGTGGCTAACTGTTAAAAAACCGGTGATAACCGGTCCGGTTTCAACTCTGGATTCTGGCATGTTCCGACGTCGGATCCTGTCGGATCTTTTAGAAACTTGTCTTCGGAATCATCGGCCTGGGTACTATCTAAACCATAGAGAAGATGCCTTGATCGAAACGTTTTGTTTTCTGTTCCAGATATATTTCGTTTCACTTTTGCTATGTGCTAAACTGTAAAAACAAGTGTCAGTTTTACTAATGAATAGAATGTAAACATAATCACAGTTAGTCTTGAAGAGCTGAACAAGTGTTTCTTCAATTACAGAATATTCTGCTACTTGTCCCGTGTCTTTCTAGATCCACGGACGTTTCTAGGACCAATCAGTTCCAAACAGTCTAATAAATGGGAAGTCAGGCGATAAAAGTAGTTGATCAACTACGAGCTCAATGGTACTGGAAATCAAATTCCGATTCATGGTCAACAAATGGAAATGAAGAATGGACAAAATATGCTGATATCGAATCAGCGATTATCGAAGAAGCATTTAATCGACAGAATAAAACAAAACTAGCTGAACTGGAGAATTATTCGATTAACTTAAACGACTGCATTCAAATCAGTAAATCAGATCCAAATGAACAACGGCAAATAAAACGGGTTCTAACTAGTAGAAATGAAAGTCAAGGCTTAAGAGAAGAAAGATTCTTTCTCCCACCAGCATTGAGTAAAACGTTCAATGATGACCACGGTAAAGAAGCTTATATTTTTCTTTCACATTGGAAGAAAGACAAGGAACTTTCTGATGTTGAAATAGTAGAGCAGGCAGCGAATGGAATAATTATCGAAGGAAAGCAACTCGGTCAACATTGTAACTCACAATATATCGCTCGCGAACTAATAGCTGTGAAAAACAAAAAGAGAGAAGAAGTTTACAAGTGTTGCATTCACCTATACACAATGGAATGCTTTCTATATAAACTAATAAATAAAGCACTCAGAGAAACCGACGCGAGTAAAATAAACACTTTGGGACCATTTTGCTACATTCTATTCAGAAGCACGCTAAAAACTGATACAAAAGACGCATGGAAACTGTATCGAGGTGTAAACATCGATCAGAACACGCTGACACCGTATGCGGAAGTTACCGGAAGGTACAGATGCTGGAATAGCTTTACCTCAACCACCAAAAATCGTCAGCTAGCCGAAATCTACGGAAACACCCTATTCATCATCGACGCGACCGAAAACGGCGGATTAGACATATCGTCACTTTCCCATTCCACGAAGAAGAAGAAGTTCTACTACAGCCAGCAACCATATTTCAAATACTGGAACTCAAGAAAACCACAAACAAAACCTATGTTTATTTGAAACTACCGGATACCGCCCGTACAACATCCATGCTAAATTCCAAATCCCAGACGCCATTAAAACTGTCGTCAAACGAGCATTGCTGCGATGAAAGTGAAATGTCATCTAGTGACATGGAACAGCTAGGAGATACATCAATACTCCGCTGATTCACATTCTTCACTAGCTGCATTCTCATTGACTCAGCAAGTGGTAATCTCATCGTCGTCAAATGAGCATTACTGTGGCGAAAGTGAAATATCATCTGGTGGCATGGAACATGTAGGAGATACATGGATCGTTCGCATGCTTCACTAGCTGCATTCTCATTGACTCAGCAAGTGGTAATCTCATCGTCGTCAAATCCGCATTGCTGTGGCGAAAGTGAAATGTCATCTGGTGGCATGGAACATGTAGGAGATACATGAAAAGTGTAATCGTTCGCATGCTTCACTAGCTGCATTCTGATTCACTCAGCAAGTGGTAATCTCATCGTCGTCAAATCCGCATTGCTGTGGCGAAACTGAAATCTCATCTGGTGGCATGGAATATCTAGGAGATACATGAAAAGTGTAATCGTCGTGATTGGCATTCTTCACTAACTACATCATGATTGAGTCAGTTGTTGATCACCTCGTCCTCGTCAGATGAGCATTCGTGTGACGAAAGTGAAATGTCACCTGATGGCATGCAACATCTAGAAGATCGACGAATAGTGTAATCTTTCGCATTGTTCACCAGCTGCATCATGCTTGAGTCAGTTGTTGAAGACCTCGCCCTCCTCAGATGAGCATTCGTGTGACGAAACTGAAATGGCACCTGGTGGCATGCAGCATCTAGGAGATAGACGAACAGGGTAATCTTTCGCATTCCTCACCAGCTCCATCATGATTGAGTCAGTTGTTGAAGACATCGTCTTCGTCAGATGAGCATTGCTGTGACGAAAGTGAAATGTCACCTGGTGGCATGGAACATGCAGGAGATAGATCGATGGTCTGCTGATTGGCATTCTTCCCTAGCTACATCGTCATTGACTCAGCAAGTGGTAACCTCGTCGTCGTCAGATGAGCATTGCTGTGACAAAAGTGAAATGTCATCTGGTGGCATGGAACATCTAGGAGATAGACTAACAGTGTAGTCTTTCGCATTCTTCACCAGCTGCATCACGACTGAGTCAGTTGTTGAAGACATCGTCGTCGTCAGATGAGCATTTCTGTGACGACACTGAAATGTTATCTGGTGGCATGGAACATCTAGGAGATAAATGAAAAGTGTAATCCTTCGCATTATTCCCTAGCTGAATCATCATTGAGTCAGTTGTTGAAGACCTCGTCATCGTCAGATGACCGTTGCTGTGACGAAAGCGAAATTTCCTCTGGTGCCCTGGAACACTAGGAAATAGATGAATAGTCTGCTTATAGTTGGCATTGTTCACTAGCTGCATCATCATTGAGTCAGTTGTTGATGACCTCGTCGTCGGCAGATGAGCATTGCTGTGACGAAAGTGAAATCTTAGGCAATGCCATGGAACATCTAGAAAATAGATGAATAGTCTGCTTATTTGCGTTCTTCATTACCTGCATCGTGATTGAGCCAGTTGCTGAAGACCTCCTCGTCGGCAGATGGGCATTTCTGTGACGAAAGTGAAATGTCAACTGGAGGCATGGAACATCCAGGATATAGATGAATAGTCTAATAGTTGGCATTCTTCACTGGCTGCATTGCGATTGAGCCAGTTGTTGAAGACCTCGTCCTCGTCAGCTAAGGATTGCTGTGACGAAAGTGAAATGTCATCTGGTGCCGTGGAACGTCAGGGAGATAGATGAATAGTGGGATCGTTATAGGCATTCTTCACTAGCTGCATCGGGATTGAGTCAGTTGTTGATGACCTCGTCGTCGTCAGCTAAGGATTGCTGTGACGAAAGTGAAATGTCAATTGGTGCCATGCAACATCCAGTGGATAGGTGAATAGTCTGCTGATTGGCATTCCTCACTAGCTACATCATGATTGAGTCAGTTGTTGATGACTTCGTCGTCGTCAGATGAACATTACTGTGACAAAGGTGAAATGTCATCTGGTGGCATGGAACATCCAGGGGGTAGATGAATAGTCCGCTGATGATCGTGGGCATTATTCAATAGCTGCATCATGACTGAGTCAGTTGTTGATGACCTCATCGTCGGGAGCTAAGCATTTCTTGACGAAAGTGAAATCTCAACTAGTACCATGGAACATCCAGGAGATAGAGGAATAGGCTGCTGATTGCCATTGTTCACTAGCTGCATCATGATTGAGTCAGTTGTTGATGACCTCATCGTCGGCAACGAAGCATTGCTGTGACGAAAGTGAAATGCCATCTGGTGCCATGGAACATCCAAGAGATAGATGAATAGTGTAATGGTTGGCATTCTTCACTAGCTGCATCATGATTGAGTCAGTTGTTGATCACCTCGTCGTCGGCAGATGAGCATTGCTGTGACGAAACTGAAATGTCATCTGGTTGCATGGAACATCTAGGAGATAGACGAATATGGCAATTTTTCGCATTCTTCAGTAGGTGCATCAGGATTGAATCAGTTGTTGATGGCCTGGTCGGCGGTGGATGAGCATTTGTGTGACGAATGCGAAATGTGAACTGGTGCCATGGAACACCCAGGAGATAGACGGATAGTGTAGTCGTTGGCATTATTCACTAGCTATATCAAGATTGTGTCTGTTGTTGTTGACCTCATCGTCGTCAGGTGAGCATTGCTGTGACGAAAATGAAATGTCAACTGTTTCCTTGCAGTATCCAAGAGATAGATGAATAGTGTAGTGGTCTTTCGCATTCTTCACTAGCTGCGTCGTGATTGAGGCAGTTATTGTTGACCACGTCGTCGTCAGATGACCATTGCTGTGATGATAATGAAATGTTATCTGGTGCTATGGAACATCTAGGAGATGGACGAGTAGTGTAATGTTTCGCATTCCTCAGCAGCTCCATCATGATTGAGTCAGTTGTTGATGACGTGGTCGTCGGCGGATAAGTATTTCTGTGACGAAAGTGAAATGTCATCTGGTGCTCTGGAGAATCTAGGAGACTGTTGAATGGTAGGCTGTTCGTGATGGTTTGTGATTTGCGGGGTCGTTGATTGGACTTGTAATTAGGTTTTGTTGGTGGTTACTTGCGACGGTGTCTAAGAGAAATTTGATATTGTGTTCTAGGAAATATTACCGCAGATATATACATTTTTTGTTAATTTTTGATCTTAGTCCGCAGTAGACAGTGTGTTTAACCCGTGAGTATATAAGCGTTTCACGGTGTAAGTATATCAGTATTTAATGATTCCGGTGTATAATCATTCGGTTTATTTAAGGTGTCCTTGAGAAGAAAATAGAATAAGCAAAACTAGCGTCAATTGAGCGGTAAAGAAGAAGCAAAGAGACGGATGCATGCCGAGTTAATAACCGTACCAACTTTCGTACTAAGCAGACTACCAGTTTACCCTCTAATTCTAACTTGTCTAATGATAGCCTGGGATATGTTCATAGTCAGGTACACTGTAAAGTCGAGATTTAATTGTAGAAAATGCTCGGTGCTTTTCAAAAGACCATATATGAAATCCTCACGGATTTTCCAGATTATAGAAAATCGAATTTCGAATAATGTGGAAAATCGACATGGATCTCTAGATTGTTGAGAATCATTTATAGAAAATCCTTGGAGCATTTCCGTCTAGAAAATCGCTGATGATTTTCTAGATGATGAGTGAGAACGCTGATAATCAGAGGCTTGCAAAGTGAAAATGGCTGAAGATGAATTTTTTCACCTCTGTCTCTGACGGAAACTATCGCGGCAGGCCGATCCTACCAGTAGTCTGTAAGCACTGCGTTTTTGCCAGAAGCAGTCTGCAGTCAATTGGCAGGTCACCACATCACATTCATTGTTATTTAAATTGCTTTAAAAGTTAGATTTAAGATAACTGAAATGAAACCAAAACTGAACTTGGATCTAAATGGTTTACAGAAACAACCTAGGGAATTGTTGAACGTAGATTTAGTAAAACAGGTTTCTTTTCAACAGCTCTATTGCTAAAGTGACATTCGCGGGCTGAGAGACGATGTGTTTCATCTTTACACACTGAAAGGGTGTATACTGATAAGCTAGTTTTAGACTGTATGATGGTAATGCATTTCGTAGTTTTATTGACGTTTGTATTACTCCAAACGTCTCATGGTTATTTGCACCTTTATTATACCGCGTCAACATTAATTAATGATGATTCTAATTGTATATATTCTTATTCTAATGTACAGTAGTTAGTGTTAGGGAAACGTACAAATAAAGGTTGGTTGATTGTACCATATTGTATTCGTCCATATAATTCAACTTTTCACATGCAACCCGAACAACAACGTCATTGTTATGGGAAAAATTATACGTATGAGCGTTTAAAATTAACGAACGTTACAAGTGATGATTTATACAATTAGAATGCCCGTATTGATACGATTGATAAGTATCAAAAATACCTTGAAAGTAATGATACAAACGGTAATTTAATATATTGTGATTGTCCTCTTAAATCGTTTGGAAAATATTGTGAATATATATTTGAAACTTTCATAACATCATTTGAACGTATAATTAAAAATCAATTTGAAGCAAAAGCAGATTTATATGACGCTGATGTGTCAGTGGATAAATATTTTACATGTTATATATTAATTGATTAAAAATGCCAAGATAAAACGCTATGTCTCGATTGGAGACAATTATATAACGGGATATGGGACTGTGAAAATGGTGCTGGTGAAGAACGTTGTTTTGAATTAGAATTAAATGAATGTAATCCAGATACACATTATCGTTGTCACAGCGGACAATGTATAATAAAAAGTTTTTCATTCGATCATATTTATGATTGTATGGATTATTCAGATGAACAAGGATCGGATTTTTTAGATATCAAATCAAAACCGTGCCATAAATTATCAACAATTGAATGTGAAGAATATAATTGTGCCTGGTTAAAATTTTCTTGTTTAGATGGACAATGTATTCGTAATTCGGAAGATCATTTTTGCGAAAGTCCACGTGAAGTATTATATAATAGACAAAAAATTTTTCGTAAATCTAATGATGATCTAACAGAATTATGCTGGAAGTATATGATGTGTATAACAGGTATGTCAACAACAACAACAAAATTATCTTGTTATAGTTTATGTCCCCCACCCGGTTATTGTACGCCCTATATCTCAGTTACTGTTTGTCCATATACATTTGTATTTCCACAAAATTTTGTTATTTTTCCATTTGTTCATACTATCTATATGTTAAATCAAACATTGTGAACATCAAAGTTTCTACCAGAATTTATTTGCTATGACGTTAAATTATGTAAAGCTTTTCCACCTACACATTATCTTTTTGGTTATTAATGTCGTAAACGTTCTGAATTTTATTCACTAGACGCGATAACATCATGGAGAGTCTTGTTTACCGGTACACAAATAATATTTTCATCGTGTACTCAGTACCATCTATCAGCGTTAAATTTGTTTCATTGTAATAATTCTAATAAATACATTTCAAAATATCGTGTAAATAATGGTTTTGATGATTGGGATCTTTATCAAGATGAAAAATACAGTAACACATGTGGATTAAATTTAAAAAATGATCAATTTGAATGTTTTGCTGGTGAACAATGTTTTTCTCGTGTAAAATTTCTTGATACGATTGAGAATTGTGATGACAAATCAGATGAACCTTTTCGATTTAATTGTCTTCTAGCACCTGATGAAAATAATCTTGCATGTGAATTAATTCGTAATCTTAAAAAAACATTACCAACGTATTTTCTTTTTCAAGATCTTTGTGATGATCTTATTTTTCGAAATATTCCAATTGATAATGAAACAGATGAAACAAAGTGTGATTTATGGCCATGCAATTCTCGTTCAAAAACTTGTAATGGTTTTTGGAACTGTCCAAATGGTATTGATGAACTAAACTGTTAGGAACCACCGCTTATTACAGCATTACTTAATCAAGATGTCTTTAATTGTTCATCAACTGAACGAACGGGCTATTGTCGTTCGCGTTTTCGATGCGATTCTAATGAGAAAGATCAGGGGTATTTTAGATTCTACTGTGCAAATACATCAAATTGCATAACACCACATAGTTTATGCAATAGTAGACAAGATTGTACATCCAATGATGATGAATTCATTTGTCCATGGCGAGAAGAATCTTGTGCTCCGGAGAAATTTTCGTGTATAAATACTCCTAATATATGTTTGTAGGCGTCTCAACGGTGTAATGGAGTTGTTGACTGTTTACCGTTGGGTGAAGATGAATGGTTTTGTGATCTGAGAGAAATACGTAATTATCATCAATTTTCGTTTCAAAATATTAATCCTTATCTATCTTACGCCCTTCGTGTTATTTGACATCTGAACAGGAAGAAGTTAAGAATGAACTTAAAGTGGCAGAAAAACAAGTACAACAACAGAAAAAAGTACCGGCTTGGCAATGTAATCGAGGTAAATTCGTAGCTTCTCGATATTCTAGTACTGGTGAATGTTTATGCCCTCCTTCTTACTATGGTGAACGATACCACTAATAGTGATTCACTATCAAAGTGAACGTGTAACAATATTTCTTGAATTTGTAATACCAAGTAATAAATTTGAACATTTAACATTATTTAGACTTATGACCTATTTGTTAGATGAAAATAATACAATTTTGAATACTGAACAAGTTGTACATAGTCCATATATTCAGCCAGGTTATAAGCATATATTTTATTTAATCTATCCACGAAACCATTCTATTATTGTTGGTGAAAAAAAGAATGTGAAAATCGATGCATATTCCGTAACACAAACAAATATTGATTATCAATCATCTTGGTATGAATCAATTCAATTTCCATTTCTTCCTGTCAATCGATTAACAATGAAATTAACATTAAGGGATAAAATTCTGTGTGGTGGAAAAGAAGGTAAACGTTCTTGTATACACGGTAGATGTGTAAAATATACTAATTCACCAAAAACATTTTGTTTATGTAATGATGGATGGACGGGCGCACAGTGCAATGAAGAATGGTTATTGAGCTATTGTAACTGTTCGAAATATTCAAAATGTATTGAAGATGGAAAATGCTTATGTCCGATTGGTTTTATTTGTATAACATGTCATATCAGATATAATCCATGTAAAAATGTTACGTGTAATAATAATGATACTTGTTTACCTTTAGATCAACGTAGTTTAAAATTTGTTTGTATTTGTCAAAAAAATTATTTTGTTGTAAATCGTGAACACCAAAATGCTGTTTTAACACTTAATCCCTCATCGTTGATATATCAAGATGTAGCAGCAGCTATTATTATTCATTTTGTCAAAGTTAATTTACGTATTGGTTTTATGGAACATGAAGATCGATTTCTATATAAAAATAGTGAGCTAAATTATCAATCATTTCAAATGTATTTAAATCAACGTACATTTATTTCAACATTTGTTTATTTACAAATTTTTAATAATATAGATTCTATAGATGTTTTTATGATGAAATATATCAATGTTTTTGTTATAATAATTTTCAACCTGATTATCTTGTTTTTAATCATCATGTAAATAATTGTACAACAGATACAGCTGTTTATTGTCAAAATGATGCTCGTTGTTTACAAGCAAATCGTCAGAGTATTTATTATTTTACATGTCTATGTAAGAATTGTTACTATGGTTTAATGTGTCAGTTTACAACTTCTCAATATTCTATTTCCTTAGATTCACTTGAAATAAAAGGTCTTATTCAAACATTTGTGTTCATCGTTGTTGTTGTATTAACAATTTCATCATTCATTGCTAATCTAATATCGATCACTACATTTTGCCAGCCAAAACCACGAGAAGTTGGCTGTGGTTTATATCTATTAACATTATCAATTATTAGCCAATTAGACATATTTATATTTGGTTTACGATTTATCTCACTTTTACTTAATCAATTTACATTTATTAGTTGTATTCTATTAGAATTTTTACTACCAGTTATACCATCTATATTTGATTGGCTAACAGCGTTGATTGCCATTGAACGAGCAATAACAGTTATTAAAGAAGCAAACTTTAATAAAAAGAAAAGTTATGAATTAGCAAAATATATCATTATTTGTATTTTCATTACTATTCCTTTATCGTCACTACATAAACCATTTCATTGTAATTTAACAATTTGATTTCTAGATGTTTTTCGAATTTGCTCCAATACTTAAAAATGTAGTCTTTTATCGAGTATTCCCTAGCAACCACAAGTGTAGTCAGGTCGCTCCAATCCGTACACATGTTCAATGACATTTTGTTGTTTTTCTGTAAAATAAGATCATGTGGCAAAAAGCCAAGTAGAGTGAGGAAGCGCGTACGCAACAAATAGTTTTCTTCGAATTTTGATTTCTTCTCTAGGAATAGATTTAAATGTATTTCTTCGCGCACAATATACATTTTTTACTCTTTTCAAACGATTATTAATAAAATTACGCCATCCTGGTTTAGTTCCTATCTCCACTCCGAAGTATTTGTATATATCATAAATTAAAACTTTAGTAATTATATATATATACTTCTATATGTATTTTTTTTAATAGATATTGTCCAAATTCTGATGGGAAATGGACAATAACATGTCCAGCAAAAAAAAATTCTGTCGTAATTCCATAAGAATATCAACAATTGTAGAAATTCGACAATGTTGTCCAACCTCTAGTAGAATTTCGAAACATGTCGAAATTCTACAACAATTTGGTGAAAATTACATTAACCGATAAAAACAATCGTGATATATTAAGTAAAACTGGGTTTAAAGTTAACTACTGTTCATTAAGCACAGAAGCAGCAAAACCAAGTGACACACCAGTTCAATGTCAGCAATGTGGACATTGATGTTTCAAATGTGGACGTCCACGAAAATATTGCAGAGAATCACAAGATATTTGTCGTAAATGTGGCGGAAATCATACTACAAATAATTGCACTGCAAATGAAGCTCAATGTTTAAACTGCTCAGATCAACATGAATGCGATGACTAATGCAATACAAAAATTGACAACAACTTTGATTGGAGTATTTGCACAGCAAAATGTCCTACATCGACACGTGCACGACACAGGTCCATAAGCACTTCATCAAAAAATCTAATCAAGAAAAACCAACAAAATATTTCTGATTCACCACAGCAACTACAACAAGACCTTTTTAAAGCTGATATTTTTCTAATCACACCATTTCTCGACGCAAACAAGCTATCGCAGCTTCCTGATCCACTGAAAGAACGTTTGTGTCAGTTTATAAAGAACTTAGTTACTGATGCTGCATTCTACTTCAATAGTAGTAATCGGATGGTAGCACGCTTTTGTGCAATCGGAACGCGCTATAATTATGCAGTGCACCCCGCAGGATGTTGAGTTCCGTTCTTGTTTACATACTGCGAAAGGATACATTGCGTATGTCTAGTGTCTCAAGTGCCAAAACTCCATCCACCATTGTAGATGTTATGTGAAAATGTGCATTGAGTATCAAATCGTTTAATAAACTATTATTTGATAATAATTCGCGTACACTATCTTCTTCACTCTATTTCTAAAAAGTTAATAGTGAGCTGTGATAACTTTATTAAGTTGCGCAAGTTCGTTCACCATCTGATGTGACCTTGCAGATTTATGTTTCGCCTTCTAGAGCTTTGATTCTACTAAAGTTCAACGTGTAACTATGTCGAGCTCAGATATTTGAACAAACCTCATCAACTGAAAACATGTAATGGTTTAAAAACACTCGAGAACAGACAATGATAGTCTGCTCGACATTTCAAAGGCAGTCCATTTAACATTGTACAAATTGTATATCATTGTCCAGGTTCATGTCCAATTATACTTGAGTTTATGCTTTTCACATTTCTTTTTCTGTGAATGCTCTTTAACTAAGTGATATATTCGCGCTCTTTTTTCCTCTGACAAAGATGCAAGTATTAAATGTGAACTTAAAAAAATAACTAATATTGTTGATAGGCCGACAGTTTTATGTAATGTAAGCGGAGCATGTAATCGACGAAACATTAATGTTATCAATGTCATATTAAGATCAACTTCATTTCGTGGATAGAAAACAAAGAAATCGTGAAGGAGATCTAGAGTATATTCACTATTGTAATTGTGCGTAGCTAGTGACGTTGTGTATCAATGGATATTGCATTGCAAAGATCATTACTCAAAATATCCATGGGCTTATCCGTTGGTGGTGTTGCAAAAAAACTACGTGAATTATTTTTTACATTTGGTCCACCAAAACTATTACATTCGGATAATGGTGCCGAATTCGTCGCCGATGTCATCACTGCATTAAAATTGTTATTTCCTGATATGTGTTTTATT